AAAAAAAAAAAAAAAAAAAAAAAAAAAGAAAAAAAAGAAAAAAGAAAAACAAAGAGGTAAAATCACATTAATATATCCCATTTTCTTGTTCTAGTGCTGGTTACCCAAGTGTTCACCTTTTGAAGACTAAATCAAGCTGTATGTATACATGATTATATACTTCTCTGTGTGTATGTAAAATATAAAATGAACACCACACATATAAATACATATTTTAAATCTGACTGCCCACAGTATAGACATAGAAATAGTTTGAGCTTATGAGCCCACTAGCATGGAAAGCAAGACACTTATAAACATTAAAGTGCAGTAAGGCCTCAATTCCTCAGGTTGTTTCTTAAGGAGAACTCATGGTTAGAAACTGAGGTAGCCGTCTGAATAATGAATCCATGGTCAGCTATAAACTTGAGGAGAGGTGGGCAGTGATGGCGGATGCCCTTACTCCCAGCACTCAGGATGAAAACAGCCAGGGTAGTTACCCAGAAAAACCCTTTCTCAAAAAAAAAAAAAAAAAAAAAAAAAAGAAACTAAGGGTAAGGATGGTAATAATGATCCCTCATCACCATAGTGTAATGCATAATCAGGATCAAGTTTTTTTTGAGGACTTAATTTTTCTTTTTTCTTTTTTTTGTTTTTTTTTTGTTTTGTTTTGTTTTTTTCAAGAGAGGGTTTCTCTGGGTAGCTTTGGAGCCTATCCTGGCACTCGCTCTGGAGACCAGGCTGGCCTCAAACTCATAGAGTGCTGGGATTAAAAACTGTGCTGAGTAATTATAAATACCTCAAGCTGACCAACCAGAATTTTAACGCACAATTTCCAAGGCACTCAGATGACTGTTAATCGTTACACTGAAGATGTCACTATTCCACGATTCTACCCTTCGTACGGATAAAGTCTGTGCTTTAGATGCAGAGCTCCTCATTACACCACAAGTCCCTAGAGATGGAGCCTACCTCTTCCTCAGGGGAAATCTTGATTTTCCCATCACGTACAGGAAAGCCACTGCCGAACTCCTTTGAAGCAATATCAGCTCCATACTCTACTGTGACATCTTCTTCAATAGTGCTTACCAGTCGCCAAAACTCTTTCTCCACCAGCTCTGTAGGAACCATCTGCAAGTATGAGGATATTGAAAATTAATTTTTCCATTCAGTCACAAATTGTTTATGACCAGTTAAAGGATGGAAATCACAGATTAACCTGCTAAGAAAAAAAGATCTGTCCATAATTTCCTATGTGTGACTCAAGTAATTCAGGCAACTCTATTTTGTAAAATAAATTTTACAATTAAGAACCATAAGAATTGATTAAGAATTATGTCCCCAGCTAATCTGGGCTCATAGGGGCTCACAGACAGAACTGACATGAGACAAACCAGGGCCCTCTGCATATGTTACAATTATGTAACATGGTCTTCTTCTGAGAGCAGTGGCTGTCTCTGACTCTGTTGCCTGCTCTTGGGACCCGTTCCTGCTACAAGATTGCCTTATGCAGCCTTAATAGAAGAGGTCTCACAGCAACTTGATATGCCATGGCTGGCTGATATCCATGGAAGACTTGCCCATCTAAAGAGAAATAGGAGGACAAGTTTGGGGCTTGCTGGGAGGATAGGAAACTTTAGTTGGGATGCAATAAATGAAATAAAAAAAAAAAATTCATGTTCCTTGATCACAAAATCCAACCACAACTACAAAGAGAGGCAAAGAAAAGAAAAAGATCTGTTTTGTTTTTTAATAATCTGACATATACTTTTGAGAAATGTTAACACCCAACTTAGCTAATAAATGTTCTCTAACACATTATTTGACTAAACCTGGCTTAAAGTAATATAGACAAACATGAATTTAAAAAATAGAAAAGCTAGAGCCATGGTTTGGTGGTCAAGAGCACTTGTTGCTCTTGCAAATGACCCTGGGTCATTCCCAGCACCCACACCCAGCATCTGTAACTCTAAATTCTGAGGATTCAATGGCCTCTTATGAGGTCCATGGGTACCAAACATACACAGGGTGCACATTCATACATGTAAGCAAGATACTCCCACATCAAAACAAAAAATAAATATCACTCTTGAAGTCAAAATAAAACTTCAAGAGGGATATACATTAAAAAAATATTTCGGGTAACTAAAAGAGAATGTTCATTACATAAAGGACTACTGGGTTCATAAATATATTGCTGGAATGCCATAGGGATCAAAACTCTCATCTAACCTCAGAATCATCCAACTTCAAAGATCCTCATGTATGAGCTGTTTGCTATGGCACACATAAAGTTTAAATATCCAGAATTATGGTGGAAACCATCTAATTTTATATTTATTTGATAGAATATTGAATGTCAAAAATAATACTTATCTTTCTAAGTGAACAAGAAGTAAAAATGGAATCCTATTATAAAGTTTATAATCTAATAATTAGACAATGAAATGTAAAACATGTCTCCAAAACACAGTACACAGTGTAATTAAATGAAAACCTCCCAATACAAAGTGTTGTGGAATTCTATCTACTACAATTAAACATTTTAGAAGTTTCCTTCTGTACAATGGCTGCCAGAGTGAAACCTTTATTCACTTCCTCTGACTCCAGTGAATAGAGCTCTTCTTTCATCAGTAGTGGGAGTTGCAGAGAAACTGTAGACAATGTCCATGTTAACTTTTTTTCCTCATCAGCTAACTCACTAAAACAAAACAACAAATGTGTAATTAGCCAGGTGTGATATCCCCTTTACCCCCAACATTTGGGAGGCAGAGGCACATGGCTCAGAGTTCAAGGCTGGCTTGGTATACATAGTGAATTCTAGGCTAGCTAGGGCTACATACTTGAGACCCAATCTCAGAAAAGTAACATAAAATAATCTTTAATCACAGCTTAGTGAGACAGCCAAGACTGATGACTTAAATTCAATCCCTAAAACTACATAGTAGAAAACCACTTTCTACAAGTTGTCTTTGATTTCCAGGTGTACACTGTTGTTTGAGAGCCCCTGATACACGCATAAGTAAACTAATTAATAACAAAAATTTTTAAATTCTAAATCAAATTAGTATAGATCTACATACATGGACTGGCATGTTGAAGTAATCAGATTTAAACGAATCTGCCATTTCCCCAAATGTACGAAGAGTATAGTCCCTTGCTGCTTGTTCAAATCCAAATGCTTCTTGTGGCTTGCTACATTCCTGCACAGGAAAAAGAAAATTAGTGTTCTAGGTGGCACTTGAAAACACCAAGTGGATCTACCCAGCAGTCTCAAGGATAATTTAAAGAGTTAAGATTTTTTTCATTCTGTCTAAAATAGAAAAATTAGTATGTTTGAAGAATGATACTGTTCCATGGAGTAAATAACTTTCATTTGGCTCTGAACAAATAAGATCATGGTGTTTTGTTTGGGTTTTTTGTTGTTGTTTTTTTGTTTGTTTGTTTTTAGACAGGGTTTCTCTGTATAGCTCTGGAGCCTGTCCTGGAACTAACTCTAGACTAGGCTGACCTGGAACTCACAAAGATCCACCTGCCTCTGCCTCCCCAGTGCTGGGGTTAAAGGTGTGGGCCCACAGCAAGCATAAGCTATGTTTTACCAATTACTTTTTAAAAAAGATTTATTTATTATGTACACAGTGTTCTGTCTACATATATGCCTGCAGGTAAGAGGCCAGAAAACAGCACCAGATCTCAGTACAGATGATTGTCAGTCATCCCATGTGGTTGCTGGGATTGAACTCAGGACCTCTCTTCCAGTCAGTGCTCTTAACCTCTGAGCCACCAACAATCACAATTTTTTTTTAAATATTGATTTGCTTTCAAGATCAAACGTCTTCAGAACTAAAAATGAGAGGAATAATGTTCAAGAATTTAAACTATAAAATCAACATAAAATATATCAAAACAGAAATTAATAACCAGATGGAAATGAAATAGCTCTCAGGCTGGCAGCATTTAATGGTAACCAAATAATGCTATCAAAACCAAAAACCAAAACACTAAGAGGTTAACAGGCAATATAAAACTGCCCTACATGATGGGAGTCAATAGATTTGAATATCCAGACTCATTTGTAAGGTCTTCTCTATCCAGATATTAAATACATAAACATTTAAATATTAATATTTATTTAACACCATGGACTCTTTCCAAGTTCCATAATAACCTATCCTTCGGGGGCTATCTCATGTGACACTGTGGCTATATAGAAAACATCTAGGACCCTTGGATCTTAAGCAATATAATAAAAAAACCTTAGTGATATAATCTAATTCTAACACGAAAGGTAACATTTCAATGTACTTCCTTATAGGGGTAACAATGGTTTCTGTTACATTTTGTAAAAAATATCAGCACAACATACACTACATCTAAAAAATTTAAGATAAAAAAATGAATTACTAAAATTAATTGTCTAATATAATTCCATTTGTTTAAAACAGAAAAAGTGTCTGGGCTGGGGGGGTGATCCTATCAATGAAGTGCCTGACACAAGCATAAGGACCAGGGAACTCAAATAAAAGCCAGGTCCCTAGGGCTTGGTGGATAGGGGTAATGGAGAAAGGTAGGTCCTTGAAGCTCCTTTGCCAGTCAGTCTTAAGCAAATTAATCTGTTTCAAGCTCAGCAAAGACCCTGTCACAGATGAACTTGTGTACACATGCACACTGGCAAATAAAAACATCCCTTACCCCAACATACAGACACATATACACAGAGCAAGAAAAAAAAAATTTGGATGAATATACACTAAGACATTAATAATGGTTACCTATGCCTTCCTGTGAAATAAATCAAAGTGTCGGGTGCATATAAATTGTCTACAATAAATTGTTTTACAATGAATGTCGTAAATAAATGAATAAAATTTAATTGTCCAAAAGAAAATTTCCTGCCTCTGAACAACATACACACACACACACACACACACACACACACACACACACACACACACACACACACACAGTGTGGAACTTTGTAAGACCTCTTTCCTATTCACTTCCAAGCCTAGTTTTGTTCATAAACTTAATTATTATTGTTAAATATAAAACCCATGGGCAAAGGAAAATGTTCCAAAAATACTTTTCTCTCTCAGTCATTAATTCTTACTTGAGCCAAACACTTAGGACACCTCCAGTCTCCCTTGGGAACATCATGGAGGGGGGGAATCAAGCAGAAAGTATGGTAACTGTCATCACACCCATCACACAGGAGGAGCCGGTCTTCATCATTGCCACTGCCACATAAGAGGCAAACATACAGGTCCACCTACAGCAAGGAAAATAAAAATAAAACAAAGGAGTGTGAGCTATTATTTGACTTTGTAGATTTCTTTTTTCATTTTGCTTATTCTTAGGGTCTCCGGGTAAATCAAGTGACCTCCTAACGGCTTAGTTGATGAAAACCTAAAACTTCTGATCCTGACTCCACCTCTAAGTACTGGATTATAGTTGTGCAGCATCACGTCTAGTTTTTATATATGGAGGAATCAAGCTCAGTCTCAAGCACTCTACTCCTAGGCAAGTGTTCTACCAAACAGAAATGTGCCCACACACCTGGGGGCAGATGTATGTATGTATGTATGATGTATGTATATATGTATGTATGTAATTTTAATTTAAACATTTATGTGACTGCATTTATGTGTGTATGCATGCCACGGTGCACATGTAAAAGTCAGAAGTCTCTTAGCACAGAGTTTTAGAGATTAAAGTCTGATCAAGGTTGGCCTAAGTCTTTTTACCCAATGAGCCATCTCTACAGCCCATACATAGTTTAAATAAAAATGCTATACCTTCTATAAGAACTATTTCAAGGGTTAGAGAGATGGCTCAGTGGTTCAGAGCACTAACTGCTCTTCCAGAGGACCGGGTTCTAGTCCCAGCACCCACATGGCAGTTTACAATTGTCTGAAAGTCCAGTCTGGTGGAATGGATACCCTCACAGACATACATGCAGGCAAAACACTAATGTATAAAAAATAAACAAACCTTTAAAAAGTCTTTAATAATCACCAGCTCCCAATTCTCAATTCTGAACTGAGATCACCAAGCTCTGTCAATTGTTATTTTTTTATTCATTTATTTAGGTAGAAATAGTCAATACTTGCTAAGTTTAAGATAATCCTCATACGGCCGGGCAGTGGTGGCCCAGCACTCAGGAGGCAGAGGCAGGCAGACCTCTGTGAGTTCGAGACCAGCCTGGTCTACAAGAGCTAGTTCCAGGATAGCCTCCAAAGCCACAGGGAAACCCTGTCTTGAAAAACAAAAAAACAAAAAAAACAAACAAACAAACAAAAAAAAAAACAAAAAAAAGATAATCCTCATAGGTAATAAATTATTATCCACAATTAAAGACATTAAACAAATACTCTGAAATCAGGTGTAGTGGCAGATGCCTATAATTGTGGAACTAGGAAGCTACTACAGGAGACCTAGGATTTTAATACTAGCCTGAGCTTCAGAGAGATCTCATCACAGAGGAGTAAGTTTAAAAAAACAAAGCAACAGAGGAAGGTATATATGAGGTAAGGACACCCTGGTCTATTACGTACAGATTGAGAAAGAGATCCAGGACAGCCAGGGCTACACAGAGAAACCCTGACTCAAATGGACAAACAAAAACCAAAATCCTACCACTTGGAATTCAATTCTAGAGTTGAAATGAGTGCCTCCTGCTGGTAATGCAAACCTGTATTCCTAGTACATGAAGTCAGAGGCAGGAGGCAGTGGGGGATCATGAGTTCAAGACCAATGTCAGTTACATGAGCCTCCTCAGACCCCCTAAAAGACACAGAGAAAAAAATTCCCCAAATAACTATGATAAAGCATGGTTATTTATTAGCTACATAGGGGCTGAACTGTCACATACACACACATCCAATCAGTAGAAGACATTGTGGCTTCAGAAGCCAATGACTTGAGTTTACATCCTGCTAAACTTAAAAGTAATAATAATAATTGTTATTTAAGCTACAGATTCTATGATATTTTTATGGCAGCTCCTTCCCAGCATCTAACCTACTAACAGAAAGCTGAGTAGTCCACTAACAATAGGAATGCTAACTTGTTAAGTCTGTTTACAATTAAAGGGAAAAAAATCTGGACTCTGCACATTTTCTTACTGTATTTTCTGGTATGTATGGTGGGAAAGGAACATTGAGATCACTTCCAATTTAAAGACACTACTGTCAGGATCTCACAAGGGAGGTCAAGCTGATACGTTCTAATATCACAAGGGGAAAATTATGTTGTTGTTTTTTTTTTGGTTTTGGGGGTTTTTGTTTGTTTTTGGCTTTCTGAGACAAACTCTCAACTCTGTAACCCATGCTAGGGTTTGAACTCTCAGCAATCCCCCTGAGTACTAGGCATGAGCCAGCACATCAAGCATAAGCACCACTTTCAACCAATGATCCAACTGAGTGCTAAATCATCCAGCTTTCACTCTACCAAAGCCCCATGCCTGAGGCATCCTTTCCTTTAGGATGCATCCTTGCCTCCTCATTCCTTTTTCCTCCTTGCTAGTTGGTCTACACTTCAGCTCTTCTGCGTAGGCTAATGTTTTGTAAATACTTCAATGCACTTCATTACTATCCAGTACAAATTGAACAAATTCCAGAAAAACCGTAACTCCTGTTGCTCACTAGAATCAGGTATTTCCTTACTTATAAATTGATTAAACAGTCAGGTGGTGGTACTGAATGCCTTTAATCCCAGAACTCGGGAGGTAGAGGCAGGCAAATCTCTACGAGTATGATGCTAGCCTGGTATACAAAGTGAGTTCCAGGACAGCCTCCAAAGCTACACAGAGAAACCCTGTCTCCAAAAACAAACAAACAAACAAACAAAAAAAAAAAAAACAGACATTAAAATATCTTTCCTTTGCTGATAATAAGAAATTCACATAAGCATACAATTATAGGTAAAGGGATTTTTCATAAGTATACACTTATAGGCAGGGGAATGGGCTAGGGATGAAGTTCAGTGATAGAGTACTTGTTTAGTATATACAAGGCCTCAGTTCCATAAAAAAAATTTCCCTCATCTAATCACCCCCATGAGTGAGAAAGGAAGGGGGAGCGGGGAGTAAGGGTGGACTTCTATAATCCCAGCTACTCAGGAGGCTGGAACAGAATTACAAATCTAAGGCCACCTTGAATATGGAGAGATCTTGTTTCAAGAAGAAAAAAAAAAAAAGTAAGCAATCAAAGGAGGAAAAGAAGAAAATGGGGGTCAACTCACAGCATTGGTGGTTTTTTTAGATCGGCTCTTAGGCTTTTCCCTCTCAGTTTCTAACATGCAGTCTTTCTTCTCAATTGGTTCTTGCTTGATGTTAATTTTCATTTCTTTCTCTACAGAAGGCAATCCAAAGTTAGTTCTATATGTACTATGTTTATCTCCTTCCTATCTCACCTCATCTCTTCTTCCTCTCCCAACATAAACTATACACAAATGTAATTGAATGTCTTCATTTTAGTAACACCTAGTGTTCTACATACAAGAGCTCAATACTGATTATGATAAAATATAAACTGACCTCAATTAAATCTTAGCATGTGAGTTCTATTATAAATAAATGATGTGTGTGCCTTCAAAATAGGAATGTTCTTTAAGAATAAGACATATGCAGGGCATGGTAGCACATACCTTTAATCCCAACACCCAGGAGGCAGAGAAAGAATGACCTCAGAGTTCCAGGTCAGTCAGAGCTATATATTGAGACTATGTCTCAAAGAAAAATTAACAAGAACTAGACATGTCTCTCTTTCTCATGACAGGGATATCAAGAATTCACCAACTACATTATACATTGTCTCTTTAGATGATTTCCTGGTTCCAAAACCTGGTAATTTTGGCTAAAACTGAGTTATCATTTATTCAACTATCAAGTGATTCATTCACAACAAACCCATCTCAAAGATGGTTAATGAATTATCTCTATAGTCACACAACTAGTTACAGGTTGAGCCAGGACTCAGATTCATAGCTGTTTACTTCCCACTAGATTCTGTTGCCTTTTCACTAACATATTAATGTCTATAAAGAGCTCATTTTAGTACTGCATTTGTATATGCCCAGGTGTACATATGTAGTACTTAATCCTATGTGAACTACAAATTTACCTCTAGCCAGGGGTGGTGGCACATTCCCATAATACCAGCACTTAGGAGACAGAAACAGGAAGGGTCATGGCTAAAAAGTCTGAGGCCAGGCAAGAATACACAGGAAGACCTTGTCATAATAAAAAAGCAAAGAGGGGGGAGTGCAAGAGAGAAGGGAAGAAAGAATGAGAGGAAGAAAGCAGGAAAACTGGCACCTGTCTCAATAGCTCCTATCAAACGACAGATATGCAAGGATTATCATTTGAACTTCAAACTAGATAAGGTCCCTGCTTGGCTTGAAATAAACAGGAACCTATACTTCTCAAATTGTCATTTATTGAACTAAATTTCAAAGCAGCAGCTAGATGCAACTGAGAAATTCACCTATATTCCAAATATAAATATTTTTCCTACCAGCCTGTTAACTGTGAGAATAAAGACGACAACAATATATTAAGATTTTATTTATAAAATCCAACCAATGACCAAAGAAATAATTGCTATCATCATCTTATTCATGGATAACCTTTCTTACCATTTTCACATTTTGGAGTTGGACAACCCATTCGGCGTCTCAAATTATGTGTTCTGGTTTCTGTTGCCTCTTCTGGTTCTATTTTAATATTCATGGCCTAAAAAATATCATATGTATGAATATTTTCTTTTATCTGTTAGTACTTAGTAATTCAAAACATACTTTTTTTCTCCTCTTAGGAAATAACATTCTTGAAATTACTTTTACACACAAACTACAATAGTATTTTCCAGTAATACAGATTTTAGGGAAAAAAAATAGTATCAAATTAAGAGCTGTATTACTACTCAAAACAGACATAACAAGGCCTTATTTGCCTCAAGAAACTTTGCTTTAATCATTACTACACCTGAATTATAAAAACATCACAATTTCATTAACATCTAAAAATAATGCCAACCTCCTCTTCAAAGGTTGAACAGTATTTGTGGAATCTTAGCTTTTTTTTTTCTTTTAAGGACAAGAGTGTCACTGGCTAGCCTGGGCCTTGCTATGTAGACCATGAAGGGCTCAAATTCACAGATCTGCTTGCCTCTGCCTCCTTAGTGCTGAGCTTAAGGTGTGCACCATCACACCTGGATTTTTTTTTTTAAACAAAGATTATAGTTTTATTTATGTGTGTGTGGCAGAATGTACATATGCATCTGTGTGTGTGTGTGTGTGTGTGTGTGTGTGTGTGTGTGAGAGAGAGAGAGAGAGAGAGAGAGAGAGAGACTAGAAGAGGTCATCAGATCTCCCTGGAGCTGGAGATACAGGTGGGCTGTGAGTTGCTTGATGTGGGTGCTAGGTATCAACATCAGGTTCTCTGCAAGACAAGTATAAACTTAACCAGTGGGCCCACCTTCCTAGCCTCATCATCAACATCATCATTTTGGTTTTTCCGTGTAGCCCTGGCTATTCTGGAACTTGCTCTGTAGACCAGGCTGGCCTCAGGCCCTGCCACAAGAATACTAGCATTAAAGGCATGTGCTGCAGCAGACTCACAACCACCCAGTGCTTCAGTTATTTTAATGAATCAGTGCTATAAATTATACCTCCCAGGCTGAAGAGATATATTAGCTGCTCTTTCTGAGAAGCTGGGTTTGATTCCCAGCATCAACATGACAGCTAACAACCATCTTTAACTCCAGCCCCAGGGGATCTGACACTCTTCTGACCTCCATGGTCACTGTACTCACATGGCACACAGACATACACTGAAGCAAAATACTCATACACAAAAATAAAAATTTTAAATCTCAAAAAGTTTTACCTCTAACACCATTAACTGTTAAAAAAAAATCCTACTTTTTCAGGCTGGAGAGATGGCTCAGAGGTTAAGAGCACTGGCTTAAGGTCCTGAGTTCAATTCCCAGCAACCACATGGTGGCTCACAACCATCTGTAATGAGATCTGGTGCCCTTTTCTGGTGTGCAGATATACATGGAAGCAGAATGTTATATACATAATAATAAATAAAATAAAACCTACAGTAAGAATATATAACTCAATCTCAGTTCTACTGGTCCTTAGAATATTATTATTGGAAGCCAGGCATTGGTGGCGCACGCCTTTAGTCCCAGCACTCGGGAGGCAGAGGCAGGCGGATCTCGGGGAGTTGATAGCAGCCTGGTCTACAAGAGCTAGTGCCAGAACAGCCTCCAAAGACACAGAGAAACCCTGTCTTGAAAAACAAAAAAAGAAAAGAAAAAAATAAATAAAAAGAATATGATTATTGGTAAAATAAATAAAAAATCACTTTGTAGTCTGTAACTGAAGTGTTTGTAGAACTACTTAACACTTTCCCCTTGTTCACAGATAAAAGAATTTCTTCTGGGGCTAGAGACATGGCTCAGCCATTAAAGGCTAGGCTCACAACCAAAGATATAAGAATTTCTTCTGTAGGCATTATCATTACATTTGCTATCATCAAGGTAGACCCAGGCATCCACAGCACCAGGGAATGCCCTACATATGGGTTTTAAATAATAACTTCCTATTCTGACTCATTTTACTGAGAAATATGGATTCTCTAAATTCTACATGTGAAAAAACATTATTTGCCAGTGGTTATCAAACACCTGGAAGATTGCTGGGCGTTGGTGGCGCACGCCTTTAATCCCAGCACTCGGGAGGCAGAGGCAGGCGGATCTCTGGGAGTTCAAGACCAGCCTGGTCCACAAGAGCTAGTTCCAGGACAGCCTCCAAAGCCACAGAGAAACCCTGTCTCGAAAAACCAAAAAAAAAAAAAAAAAAAAAAAATCTGGGATTGATTCAGAAGCATGATACTGCCTTGCAGCTCCTCAGCAGTGAGTTGTTTCTTAAAATTCACAGCCAATCAAGTAGCTAAACAGAAATCCAAAGTCCTTAGACCTCTCTATGGGAACAAAGTAAGTAGAATATTCTTCCTTTCTGAACACAGGAAAAAATCATCTTAGCAGTCTTTGCTCATGGCCCTTACATTGCATTCACTTAACACTAGTTCTTCCTTCATACTTCCCAATTCTTCCTTCATTCTTCCCTCTTCTTAGCATAGATGTCTTCCTGATTCCACACTTACTATGAACAAAGTCCCTGTCTTCACATATTCCTCCCAATTGTTTGTTTGGTTTTGACTAGTAATAGCTAAACAGCTTTCCAGGCAACACAGAATGAGTTCTTCTATTACTTGTCCTTGTGGACAACACCATCCCCATCGCTGGTGTAAAAGTATCCCTTTATGAGATTACCAAGGCTCAAAACTACAAAGCACTTACTTACAGATTAGAGAAAGTCTGTGATGAATAGCCATTAGCACTAAACTCAAGAAACTCTAATCAATCCCGGCAAGTACTTACCTCTGCTCTCATGCGCTTTGCTCGGCGAGCTGGAGGACAGGTTTCTGAGGGCTGTACAGACTGCCTCTGGAGAATATCATGGGGTTTGTATTCCTTGTCCTTTGTATCTGAGGTCAGGTTAGGCTTTTGAAGACACTACAAATTAAACAGTTGTACCAATGAATTTTCTTCCACTATAATTATTTTTTATGATTATTCTTATATATAGTTAACAACACATTTTTTGGGGGGGGGATTCAAGACAGGGTTTCTCTGTGTAATAGACCTGGCTGTTCTGAAACTCACTTTGCAGAACATAGATCCACCTGGATGTGTCTCCCTAAGTGATGGTGAAATATGGTTCTTAAAAAATGATAGTTGCAAAAATGTCCCCATGGGCTCCTATGTTTGTAATACTTGGTCCCCCGACTGATGGCACTATTTTGGGAGGTTGTACGGCCTTTAGTAGTTGGAGTCTTTCTGGAGAAAATGTTGGTCATGAGGGGTCAACCTTATGAACTCTAGGCCCTCTGCTTCCTGCTCCACCATATATGAGTCCCAACCATACCATCTCATTGCCATAACTCTACCATGCCTCCTTCCCAGCCATGATGCACTGCCTGCACCCTCTCAAACTGTGGCCCAAATAAATCCTTCCTCCCTTAATTTCCTTATTATTAGGTGTTCAGTCACAGTGACAAAAAAGTGATTCAGTTCTGATCAGAAGTTTCTTTTTGCTTTCATTTTTTTAGTTTTGTCCTGACCTGACAGAAAGATATTTAATGACAAAACATAACACAAATTATTATTACTGAAGCTAATATGAATTTCTCAAGTATGTCTTCTTTTTCACAAAGGACAACAAAGATCATGAGAAGAATTTTTAGAGAAATTGTATGTGTTGCATAACCATTTTGTCTACATGTATACATGTGTACTGTGTACATGCCTAATGTCTGAGGAGGCCAGAAAAAGGCATCCAATTCCCTGTAACTGGACTTACAGATGACTTACAGATGGCTGTGAGCTACCATGTGGGTGCTAGGAAATAAACCCAAGTCCTCTGCAAGAGCAGCAAGTGCTCTCAATCACTGATCCACCACTCTAGCCCCATGAGAAGCATTTTAAAAAGCAGGTTCCAAAATGCAATTATCTGAATACATCTGGGGTATGCTACATCATTTATATGTGGCAAGGGATACATGAAATATACTATTACCTGGGAATGAAGCTCAATAATCCTGTTGGGGGGGGGCAGGAGTTAGGGTGGGGCTGAGGATGTAGCTCAGTTGGCAGAGCGCTTGTCTAGCATATATGAGGCCCTGGGTTAGATCCCTAGCAACCCAGGAACTGGACACACTTATAATGCTAGTACTCAGGAGGTTGAGGCACAAGGATCAGAAGGTTCAAGGCCAGAGTTGGCTACACCATTAATTGGAAGTTTGCTAAGGATACATGAGACCTTGTTTTCAAAAAAGAAAAAATTCAGTTTATATATACCTTTACCCACTCTATGAATTTTCTGAAACAAAATTTATGTGGTTTTACTTGAGGTTAAAATTGTATAAGAATAGGGAAATATTAATGACCTGTTCACACATACTATTACCTATTTAGCCTCTATTTCTCACTAGTAGTAATGGTTCCATCATCTACATTCATGTTTCTATAAGGACCTTAGACACACTTGGCAAAAATCAAGCCTAGTAAATTTTTAAAATATATTAAGAATTTTATCTTTTGTTCCAAAGATAACTCAAGACACAAACTTAGCACATTGGTTTTGTAACTAACACAGACTTTACCTCTTCTTGAAAAGTAGAATTTACAAGAGGCTGGTATCATTATATCATAATCACCTCATTCCATAGAGACAGTCAACATCCTCCAGGGCTTTTAGAGAACATGATGCAAGAGTAAGGCTGTGTTCCATTATGCCAGTACACTTTTCTATTTTTTTTCTTTTTGGGTTTTTTGAGACAGGGCTTCTCTGTGGCTTTGGAGGCTGTTCTGGAACCAGCTCTTGTAGACCAGGCTGGTCTCAAACTCAGAGATCCACCTGCCTCTGCCTTCCAAGTGCTGGAATTAAAGGTGTGTGCCACCACCATCTGGCTGCCAGTATTCTTTTCTTTTTTGGCCTTTGAGGCTGTGTCTCATGTAGTCTAGTTAGACCTTGAATTCACTGTATAACCAATCCCTCTCCCCCTTCAAAACTGTATGTTAATGTTTATTGAGGCATGGATGATATAATTCATTTTGAGACAACGTCTTGCAGTAAGTTATTATTGCTTCAGCAAAATACCAAACAGAAGCAACTCAGGCAAATTTGAGTTTATAGTCCATTTTGAAAAGGAAGCATGTCAAAAGCATGCAGCATTTGGTCCCAATGTGTCTGCAGTCAAGAAGCATCCTGGTAGCCCCAGTGCATGGGATAGTGCTACTACATTTAGTGTGATTCTTCCCACCTTAAATAACCAAATCTAGAAAACCCCTTACAGAATGCCCAGATGTTTGTCTTCCAGGTGATGATAAACCCTGTCAAACTGACAATGCATTAACCATCACAGTATGCATCCAGGACTGCCCTTGACCTCAACCTCCCAAGTGCTGAGACAATAGTCATGGACCATGTACTAGACCTCTGTGGCCTCTGTCTTATAGTTACATTTTATAACTAGTTGCCCCGTATAGAATAGCTTTTCTATTTTTGAATTCTTCTATGTGTGGAGGTTACAGTAAGAGAAAAAAAAATCTTACCTAATTTATAAGTTGCAGCATTTTAGAAACTTGTCAGTAACTGCCTTGTAGTTTTACAAAAAACACTTGAAAGCTGCTGTTTTTGTAATCATAGCACACCAGAAGTTGAGGCAAGAAAATATTGAGATTTTATAAAAGCCTGAACTTATGTAATAGGATTAAGCAAACAAAGGGTAGGGATTTTCAGATATAGATTTCATAAACATTACATATGTAACTCAATATGTTTTGACCTACTATATACTATATAGAATATAGTATATACTATATATTATATTCTAGAAACTAATACGTATTCCTTGTAGAAAGTTTTTTAAAACGGTTGAGGATATAGCGCAGTTGGTAGAGTGCTTGTCTGCTATGCATAGGGCCCTGACTTTAATCTCTGGCACTGAAAAAAGCTGGTTATAATGGCACAAGCCTGTCATCTCAGCACTCAGGAGGCAGAGGCAGGAAAGAGGATCAGAAACTGTTATCAATCTTTCCAAAGCACAGAAACACTTCCAGTTACAGGATTTACTGTTCTAGTATTTAGAGTATCTCAAACAATGTAAATGGATTAAGATACTCCTTTCTACCAGAGCCTTGAAATATGTGAGATGGTTTTGTAGCAGTTCCTTGAAATTGAAGAGGCATGCAGACAGGAACTGCGGAGAGAATAAAGTGCCTTCAGCATTAAGTCCTCTCTCCTTTATTAAACAGTCTATCTGATACCCTCCCTGGAAATCCCAGTCAGCAACAATTAGGCCACTTAAATCACAGGTTACACTTTACGTGACAAAAGGGATCACGTAAATAGTGTAAATCATTACATTATTATTATTTGTGTACATTATTACATTATGTACACACTAAACAGTGTACATCATTTTTTTAAAAAGCCACAGAGAAATGCTGTCTCGAGAAAGAAAAAAAAAAAAAAAAGCACATAATAATCAGGTCCTATAGTGAAGTAAATACAGATTTTGACAATCTTATTAATTCTAACACAATCCTTTAATTGTTCCTCAAACCAAAGTACTGGAATTCTTTCTCAAAAAGAAATCATTAAACAATGTTTTCTGAATGATTAAGACTGTCTGGTTCCCCCCCAAAGACAATGTACCCAACAAATAAGCAGTTAAATAAATTGAGATCAAGGCTTCCTCTAACACTTACCCTCAAACTGTCTCCGGAGAGGAATAAGTTGTATGGATTGAGGATTCGTTCATAATGTCCCCTGATGTGTGATCCCACAGCTTTCCCAGGAGCAAAACCCATCTTGGTGGCAATTTTGGTCCATTTTCTATCCTTGCAAACAACTGCAAAACCACCTTCTTCTGCAACTAACTGTTAACAGCAAAAGAAATATTAGAAAAAAAGGAATATTAGAGAAATTACCTCCAACACCTAGTTATGATTAAAAAAACAAAAGCAAAAACAAAAACAAAACAGGTTTTCTCTGTAGCTTTGCAGCCTATCCTGGAACTTGCCCTGTAGACCAGGCTGGCCTCAGACTCACTGAGATCCATCCATCTGTCTCTGCCTCCCAAGTACATGTGCCACCACCACCCAGCCTTAGGTATGGTTCTAAGAACAAAATTCTCAGCTATAATGTTTGTTGTTGCTGATTTGTTTTCTTTGTATGTTTTTCACTTCCAAGGTCAAAAGAAAAAAAAAAAAAAAACTACCAGCTATTAATGTTGTATGTATACAGTGTTCAGCCTAGATATATGCCTGCACTCCAGAAGAGGGCACCAGATCTCATTACAAATGGTTGTGAGTCACTGTGTGATTGCAGGAAACTGAACTCAGGTCCTCTGGAAGAGCAGCCATCTCTCCAGTCCTAAGAGCTCTTTTGACAGTGTGCTGCACACATACTTCACTCTCAAACTACTTTTCTCACTGCCCCAAAGAATAAGGTTAACAAAGGAAAAGCACGCCGCCGCCACCAATATTTGGTTCTACTTTCTCACCCATCTGTATGGGGGGGGAGGGGTAAGACAGGGTTTCTCTGTGGCTTTGGAGGCTGTCCTGGAACTAGCTCTTGTAGACAAGGCTGATCTCCAACTCAGAGATCTGCCTGTCTCTGCCTCCCAAGTGCTTGGATAAAAGGTGTGTACCAACACTACCCAGCTAAAATCTGTATTTTTTTAAAAAATTTTATTTATTTATTATGTATACAACATTCTGTTTCTATACATATCTGCACACCAGAAGAGGGCACCAGATCTCATGACAGATGGTTGTAAGCCACCATGTGGTTGCTGGGAATTGAACTCAGGACCTCTGGAAGAGCAGTATGGTGCTCTTAACCTGTGAGCCATCTCTCCAGGCCCTAAAATCTGTATTTTTAAAAAAAGACAGCAAGTCTGCCATCATGTCTGGCAGAAAGAAATGCAACCTAGAAAAAATGGGAAGGACCCTTTGCAGCATTGAGATGTTTCAAGGAAAAACAGATTGTAACAAAAAAGGCTTATAGACTACACAGGTAGAGTTCTGATGCTTAACAAAAAAAAAAAAAAAGAAAGAAAAAAAAAGAAAAGAAATCTCATTTGCCTATTTCAAACAAGCAGCTTCCTTCATAAGGCTGTCCAAAAAACCAAAAACCTGAATAAAATGACTTATGACAGTTGTCTGCACTTACCTTATTAAGCTGGAACAAGTCTAAGATCTTCCGCTCTACATGGGGAATCTTCAGAGTACTTCCCTGTAGCTCCCAATACTTTGCAATCTGGTCCAGAAAATTCAACTTTACACGTGTTTGAGCCTAAAAGTCAAAAAAAAGAAAAAAAAAAAAAAAAAAAAAAAAAAATTTTTCCCCCCCCTCCCCCCCCCCCCCCCGTGGCATAAAACTGATTTCTTTTTTCTTGGTTTTTCGAGACAGGGCTTCTCTGTGTAGTTTTGGAGGTTGTCCTGGAACTAGATCTTATAGACCAGACTGGCCTCCAACTCACAGAGATCCGCCTGCCTATGCCTCCCTAGTGCTGGGATTAAAGGGGTGAGCTACCAATGCCAGGCTATAAGACTGATCTGAATCACAGGCATAAACAATCTTACCCTTTTCATCCCCTAATTGGCTTACATTCCTGGCATGTATATACCTCTGTACTTGGCAGTATCTTATTTTAAAGCTCCTACCTATAACTGTGTGCTCTTTTCACCCTTAAGACTATTTAAGTACAAAACCAATTTTTATTTATTACTAAATCATTAAGTACGAGGATGTTTGATAAGTTATATTTAAAAAGTAGGTACTGCCTGTGTCTAAGGAAAATATCACTATTAGTTTACGTTGTAAGAGTTAGTTATTAACAAGCCTGAGCCATTAGCCAAGCATTTATAATTAATATTGACTCACCATGTCAGATATTTTGGAACTGGTAGGCAAGAGAGAAAAATCTGTCTACAAGCCTTGATAATTTAAATTAAAAAAATTAAATCTAAGTTTTATACATAAAAGAAAACTAAAGAAAAAAACTTTGCTACTGCATTCTTTTCTAAAGTAAATTATTTTCAAAACTTAAAATTCCAGTAATTATCATCTGAGGATACAATTCATATGCAGAAGGAAAGGTTTTTTTCCTTAATTCTTTTATGTATGAAATTTAGATTCAATTTTTTTTAATTTAAAATATTTTTATTTATATGCATTGGTGTGTTTGCCTGCATATCTGTCTGTATGAGGGTGTTGGGTACCCTGGAACACAACTATCTATTACAGATAGTTGTGGGTGCTGGGAACTGAACCAGTATATTCTACAAAAGCAACCAAGTACTCTTAACTGCTGAGCCATCTCTCCAACCCTATATTTAATTTTTTTTTTTTTTTTCCCTGAGACAGGGTTTCTTTGTGTAATAGTCCGGCCATCCTAGAACTCAACTTTATAGACCAGACTGCCCTGGAATCACAGAGATCCACTTGCCTCTGGTTCTCGAGTGTTAGGACAGAAACATGTGCCACCACCGGCTGGCTAGATAAAAGTTTCAAACTTCTTATTTTATGTGAATGCCTGCATGTATGTCTGTGCACTGTATATGCGATGTTCTCATTTCACTAAGACTGTAAAACCAGTGACAGACTGATCATCAAAGAATAGTCCTCTGGAACACAGGCAAACAGAATAGTACCTCCAGTTCATTTAGCCTCTGGATCCGGGGGGTAAAATGAAGCTTATCAACATCACAGGCAAATGGTGGCTGCCAATCCTAGAAGAGAACAAAAGCTATTAGATATGATTTCTTAACACTAAAATTATTTTTAAATTAAAATCAAGGTTATGTAAACTATCTCTTATCAGTCAAACAAAATATAACTGTGAGGTAATTTTCAACCTATTTTCAACAGAAAATTTCAAGTATGTAATGAGTTCTTTCCCCCAAATACTGGTATCTGACACAAAAACCTCCCTCTATCCTGACCTAGCTCTGAGCCCACCCTCTGTTGAAAAGTCACTGATTTAGGTAAAAAATACTTATTGACATAAGTATCCTTCTAAAAAACAGTATAATATCAAATTATCTGTACAATGTTTATGGGATTTTTTGTTTGCTTTTTTTGTTTTTTGTTTTTGGAGGCTGTCCTGGAACTAGCTCTTGTGGACCAGGCTGGTCTTGAACTCACAGAGATCCGCCTGCCTCTGCCTCCCGAGTGCTGGGACTAAAAGCGTGCGCCATCACCACCCAGCTATCTGTACAATTTTTTCATACGGAAGGAAAAAAAATTATGCCTGCAATCCCAGCATTCTGGAAGCAGAGGCAGGAAGACTGCCACAAGCTCATGACAACCTGGGCTACATGGTGAAATTCTGTCTCCAATGAAGGAGGGAGAGTGGAGGGCTGGGCATGAGGAGTTGAGTTCAGATCCCCAGAAGACAGGCAGGCATGTACATGTAAACCCACAGCTGGAATACCAGAGAAAGGTAGATCCCTGGAGCTTAATGGCCACTAGTGTAAATGTTGAGGGTCAGGTTCAGTAAAAGACTATCTCAAGAGCTATGACAGAGGGACTGAAGAGATGCTTAGTGGGTAAGCACTTACTACCAAGTCTGAGACTCTAAATTTTATCTTCATATACCTCATGGTAGAGAAAGAACAGACTTCCACACTCGTATGGTGACATGCATGCAACCACACCCACACATACATACTAAAGAACAGGTTTTTTGTTTGTTTTTAAGGTAAAGAATGATGGAGGAAAAAAAGAATGATGGAGGAAGGCTGACTTCTGGCCTCCACATCTGCCCACATGGACATAGACATACACACATACACACACACACACACACACACACAAAGGTAAGTAGTTTATTTGATAGCATGCCTGAGGCCCTGGGTTTGCTACCTAGCATCCCACAAACCAAGTGTAGCAGCAGACCCTTGCAATCTCTGCATTCAGATGGAAGCAAAAAGTCAAAACTCAAGGTCACCCCCAATTATATAGCAAATTCAAGGATTTTCTTATGAATAAAATGTTTTTTATCAGGATCAATTCTTCAGCAGAAGGACAGTTGATACTTAAACCAATTTTTAAGGCTACTCTTAAAATGTCTACTCTATTCTTGACAGAGTTTCTCTGTAGCTTTGGAGCTTGTCCTGGAACTCGCTCTGTAGACCAGGCTGGCCTAAACTCACAAAGATCTTACCTGTCTCTGCCTCCCCTCCAGTGTTCTATCTTTTAGAGAAATCCTACCATCGAGGAACTGCTATGTTGAGGAAATAACGAGTAAGAAAACTGTTCAGTCCCTAACAGTGTCAAAAATAAAAAGGGGAGGGAGGTGTGGCTCAGTGGTACAATGTTTGCCTAACATGGGCAATGTGCTGAATTTAGCACCATTAAAAACAATTTATGTTAATCCCAGCACTTGGAAGGCAGAGGCAGGTAGATCCAAAAAATCCAAATTATATATACATTGTTACCTAAATATGGTAGAAACTGGAAAACAAATATCTAACAATAAGGGTACAGTTGAAGGGGAAATGCCGTTTTACTATTTTTCAGTTAGGATAATGAAAGATATAATAACAGATAGTGATTATGGATGCACATCACTATTCAGCACTAATAATTTATACTCATACACTTGATTACAAAGACAAGTTTTATATTACAAATTTTAGCATGGCAAATAAAGACAAATGTTATAAGACAGACTTTTTGATAGGGAAAGATAATTTTCCTTCCTTACCTGGTTTAAACACAAACCAAGATATTTTAAATAATATGTTATTTCAAATTATGAGAGTGTTAGTTCAAGGAAACTCACAGCCTTTAATTCAGTTTCACACTCAGAAATGTATTAAAGCTGGGGATGTGGCTCAGCTGGTAAAGTCCTTGCTCCTGTCTAGTTCATCTTCCTGTTAGTGTGATAAAATACTTAAGTGGGACTAGGGAGATGACTCAACTGTGAAGAGCACTTGCAGCATAATCATGAGGATTAAAGCTTAGATCCCAGCACCAACATAACAAACTGGGAATCCCTGTACACCTGTAACTCCAGCTGGAGAGAGCAAATGTCCTTTCCTGGCCCCCTTATGGAGAGGCACTCATTCCTCACAATTCCCCCCCCCCCCCCGACACACACACAGCACTTTAGGAAAAAAGGGTTCATTCTGGTTCACAATTCAAGAGTATAGCCCATCACTGCAGGAATGTGTAAAGCAGCGGGAGCCTGAAGCATCTGGTCACACCATATCCAGTCAGCAAGCAAAGAGAAATGAATCAATGCATGCACTCTAGTACTCAGTTCACTTTCTCCACTTTATACAGTCCAAGATTTCCCCCAGGGAATCATCCTGCTGCCTACAAAACCATGGGTCTTCCCACAGCTAATCTAAGACAACACCCCCCACCATGCCCAGAGTCCTAGCTCACAGATTATTCTGGATTTTATCAGTTTGACAAGACTAGTCATCACATCTACAATATATTTGTGTGTGTGTGTGTGTGTGTGTGTGTGTGTGTGTGTGTGTGTGTATCAGCAGACAATTTTAGGGAATCATTTCTCCTTCCACCATGTGGGCCCCACGAGTCGCTCAAGTCACCAGCTTGGCAGGCAGCAAATGCCTTTACCTGCTGAGTCATCTTCCTAGCCCAAATATATAGTCATAATATGTTATCTTTGTGGTCTGAGACATATATACACTAAAGAGTTAAAAATGATAGGCTATTCCTTGAAGACCTGTTCTAAAACATAAAGATTCAGAATGACATGTTCCTGCTGAGCATGATGGTACACTCCTGTAAATCCCAGCACACAGGAAACAAAGGCTAGACAATCAGTTCAAGGCCAACCTCTGCTACAAGAAATGCTGAGAAGAGAGTGAGGAGATTGTGGTCTCAAAAACCTGTAAGAGTTTTATATGTGAACTGGTGATGGCTCAGAATGTAAAAGCATTTGTCACCCAAGCCTTGATTGCCTAAGTTTAGTTCCTGGATTCCATATAAGGAAAGCACTGACTCTCCAAAGTTATCCTCTGACCTCCACATCAGTACCTTGGTATAACCTTTTACATGCAAACACACACAATAAAATTAAAAAAAAAAAATTAAGTGTCATATGCATAATTTATGCTGAGTCTGCAGATTCAAATAAAATAACCTCTAAAAATGGCACATCAAAAGGACAACATGGCCTATAAGAGGGATCGAAAAATAGTATAATTTTTTCATTAATAGAAATCACTTCAAGGCTTTTTTCTTTTTCTACTGACCAAAACCAAAAAACAACGAAAATCAGAGAAAAGTGATAAATGTTCTTCCATTTTGAGGTTTTAAGGACAAAGCTATACTCCAAAGAAGAAATTTACAAAGTAGGTGGGGCATGGTGGCGCATGCCTTTAATTCCCAGCACTCAGGAGGCAGAGGCACTTGAGGCCAACCTGGTTTACACTTCGAGTTCTAGGACAGGTTCCAAAGCTACAGAGAAACCCTGTCTCAAAAAGAAAAAAAAAAAGTTTGGGCTTGAAAGGTGGCTCAGAAGTTAAGAACACTGGCTGCTTTTCTGGAGGTCCTGAGTTCAATTCCCAGATACCACATGGTGGCTCACAACCATCTGTAATGAGATCTGGTGCCCTCTTCTGGTGTTCATGCAGGCAGAACACTGTATACATAATAAATAAATCATAAAAAAGTAATAATTATAGTTCCTGGGAATCCGATACCCTCCCCTTCTGGATTCTGTCAGCACCAACACACATTGTAAGTGCCACACACACATTTTTTAATAATTTTTATTTCATGTACATTTGTGTTTTGCCTGTGCATGTGTGAAGGTGTCAGATGCCCTGAAACTAGACTCATAGACAGTTGTGAGCTGCCATGTGGGAGCTGGGAATTGAACTCAGGTCCTCTAGAAGAACTTATAAGATGCTCTTATCCAGAGTCATCTCTCCAGCCCACAAATTTTTTTAAAACTAAAAAAAAACTCCAAAAGTTGTCCTCTTAACTTCACAAGTGATAAATAATATATATTATATATAATATATATAATTTTTTTTTAAATTTAGCCAGGCACTTGGAAGGCAGAGGCAGGCAAATCTCTGAGTTCGAGGCCAGGGTAGCCAGGGCTACAAAGAGAAACCCTGTCTTGAAATAGCAAAAATAATTTTTTTAACGGGAAAAAAAAGATGAGAAATATATGTATATAAGAAATCATTAAAAGGCTCTAAAAAGTATTTGTGGTTTTTTTGGTTAGCTGGTTTTGGTTTTTTTGTTTGCTTTTGAGACAGAATCTCACTATGTAGTCCTGACTGACCTGGAAGCCTATATTCTATACATGCAAACCAAGCTGGCCTGACTCATGCCTCTGCTGGGATTACAGGCATGCACTACCACACCTGACTTTAAAATTACACCCTATCTGGATACTCAACTATATCACAGAGAACTAAGACATATTTGACAAAGTCTAGGTAATTTAACCAAAAAGGCAAAAATGTTTACCCTCTATGAATAATGTGGATCCTAAGTCACTCTTACCCGACTGCCATTACAAGCACAATAGTTATAGTAAGCCAGATATAGTACAGCTCAACATCTGTAATCCCAGCATTTGTGAGCCTGGGGAAGAGGATTGCTTGTTAGGGACCAGCCTGGACTGTACATAGTAATAGGTCTGGCAGGGATACAAAATACTATCGTCTCAAATAAATAAATAAATAAATAAATAAAACAGAAATTCAGACTACAAAGCAGTCCTGCATAAATT